GTGACTGGGCGCTTGGGTCGAAAAACAGGCTTTGCATCCGGACGGAGGCACAGATAAGCTTGGATCTTAAAGCAACACCCCCAAGCCATCGTGGAACACTGATGAAAACTTCTCCTTGAGGGTTGCAGTCAGATTTGCAGACAAGTGTTCGGTAGACGACGCACTTTCTGTGTGCATAGACACGTTAACAGACGCTGTTCAGAGGCACATCCAAAAGACTGAACTTCTCAATCCAATCGAGACCCATCAATTTAAACAGGGTCTGTTGGTAAAGTAACAGGTTCCTTTAATCTGCATGCTGTAGCCGGACCGCGTTGCTCAACGATGGCTGAGTCATGTTCGAGGATCTCGATCTGCTGGCATTAGTCTGTTAATGTCTGCAAATTGATATTAGGGTCTTGCTCGATGCGTCGCGGGAAGACTGAAGTGCACACACAAATATCAGGCATTTAAACTGCTCATCAGTCAGTGAACGCAACTTGAATTTCTCGCATTCCCGGTTCACAATGCTGGCTAGTGTCAAACAGTCATCTGTATCATTTTTTCACCAACTTGAGGCAGTGATATCGGATACTGAACAAAGCCGGCTTTTCACCATAAGTGTCTGAAAGTTGTTCAACTGTTTCTTCGAAAGTGAAATCACGTCAACTTTTGGGCAAGATTATGTCTGTGTAACGATCATGCTCTTTGGTTCCCAGCTTTCGGAGCAATAATGGCACCTTCCATCCATCATCAGCATCTGCAAATTCAAATCGGAATACATCTATCCAACGTTTGAACCAGGAAGCAAATGTAGTTCCCGCATCGGGGTGGTACAGGAATTCAGTGATGCTTGCGGCAACAGTGTCCATAGATGTCGACTGTTTAACCGGTTTTGCTGGATTGAGATGTGGGCTGAGACGTTGTAACATGGTCTCCATCCTCCTTAGGTGCGCGGCCTCGAATTGTGCCTGTTGCTGGTTGAGAATTGCTTGTAACTGCTTCGGCGTGATCGACATTGTGGATCCGTAAATTTTCCCGTCGCCAGTTGTTGTGTTTGGTCTAGGGGTACGAATGACACGAGCGACTCTTGCTTNATTAGTTCTATATTTTTTTGACATATCGATAACTTATCGAGGAATACACGCTAACTGTGGTCAAAACCTGTGTTCTCTCTCCGCGTTGTCGTTGGGGGTTAAGCAAGAGTCGCTCGTGTCATTCGTACGCTTAGACCAAATACAAGTAATAGAGGGTCGACACTTGCAACAAGCTCGCAAATATGTGTATATTCAGCATCAGAAACGGTCTGATCAGCTGCCCGGTGTCCGTGTGGGTGGTATTTTGGCGTTCCACCTGTGAGGCCCAGGGTTCGATCCCCAGTCGGGTCGATGGATTTGCACTGCGGACAAGACCCAACCAGGTTGAAACNTGCGAGCGTGCGTGTGGCCTGACTCGGAGGCGTGCGCGATCGGACGGGTTTCTTAGGCTCCGTCCTAACATTACTCTCATGCAACAAAGCCAGGTTGTGAAAGCTTCCAACCGAGGCATAAATCTGGGGACTAGTGCTGAGACGAGCGAGGACCGGTACTCGCAACATGCTCGCAAAGATGAGTTTGCTATATCGCGTATATTCAAAATCAGAAGCGGTCTGATCAGCTGCCCGGTGTCCGTGTGGGTGGTATTTTAGCGTTCCACCTGTGATGCCCAGGGTTCGATCCCCAGTCGGGTCGATGGATTTGCACTGCGGACAAGACCCAACCAGGTTGAAACAGCTATGCCGTGCTCCCCAGATTTTCAGCTCACACCTCATTTACACGACGAAAATGAGACTGCTCGCCACTCTGGCTTGTTTGAAATGGGCTCTCTGGGACTACTCATATAACAGCAGTATTGACTTACCTTTTTTGCTACCAAAGTCCCCATAAATGGGTGAAGAATTCATGTGACTGATGCAGAGGGATCAACTTGACTGACTTGGTTACCTTAATCTCCTGGACGCTATTCGTGTGGAAGGCCAAATTCGAAACCGTCACAGCATCCAAAGGTATTTCGATGGATGCAGTTTGAGGTCTTCAAACCGATCCCCGGAAGAGCACCTTCGTTGTCATATCTATAATGCCGTGTAGAAACTTGCAACAAACCAATTGGCCCTACATGAAACAAACCATTAGCGAGCCCATTTGGGATTATAGCAAAGTTTCTATTATATGAATCAACATATTCCCTGACAATAAGTCAATAGAAAATGTGATAGGCACGATATAACGGGAAGAACAAAGGTATTAGAAAGAGGTGTAACGTGAAACAAAGGAATAAGCATTGAAGCGTAGCCGGTGGATTACGAAACAAATTTCTAGAACAACANTCATATAACAGCAGTATTGACTTACCTTTTTTGCTACCAAAGTCCCCGGCTGTCTGTGAAGGGGTCGAGTGTACGCTGCAGCAGTTCGGCCATTCCTGCTCTACGGTACAGAGATTTGGTCTCTACGGGAACAGGATAAAAATAGATTGTCGGTATTCGTACCCCGCTGTCTACATCGCATTGCAGAAGTTTGGTGGGGAAACCGGACGGGCAATGCTGAGGTTAGACGTAGAGTTTTAGGCATTCGCGGTCATCCACTGGAGCAAGTGATCGACCTCCATAGATTACGCTGGTTGGGGTATGTGTTACGCATGTCAACAGATAGGTTGCCGGGGTGAGCGGTGTTTGCCAAGGCTGGTAGCGGATGGGAAAAGATCGAGGGTGGTCAAACTAGGATCTGGCATGAGGGTATGAAAACCCTTACCAGGAGAGTAGGTCACATAGGCCCGTTAGGCTCCCTGGCTGGGGACCTCGGGATGATGGTCATCAATGGTTAGCTTCACTGAGTGATATGGCTGGGTGTCGCAAACAGTGGCGTTCGTACATCCACTCATTATTCCCCTTTCATTATTCTATATAAATTTTCCATCTTCCGCTTGAATTTGCTTTCAGCATTCCAATCTTCATTCTGCTCTTTTATCCAAATGTGGCTCCAAAAGACAGCATCCAAAACCGGCGCACGAAATTGCAGGGCAATGGTTGTAGAAACTGACACTGAAACTGAAACCAAAGTCCCCATAAAAGGGCGTTGAAGTTATGTGACGGATGCAGAGGGATGAACCTGATTGATTTGGTTGCCCTAGTCTCCTGAACGCTATTCGCATGAAAGAATTTCTCTCATCCAACCAGACCAAAAAGGTTACCATCGCGACGAGGTGTGTCTATGAGATCCTCACTGTACTTCCAACATCAGTAACGAATCTACCCTTCGGCCATGAACGACTTCATTGATTTCCACACGTCATGCTCTTTGGTAATCCTAAAGTTTGCATGATGTGTGACCCAAAACCAGCAATTATTTCTTTGTCTTGGGAATCCTGGACGCTGCAAGGTCGCCTGTGTATGAGTGATAATGAAGTTGATATAAGCAACCAATAATTTACAGGTTCCACTGCCGGTTGTAACGTATGTGACCGTCAATAATAACGTTTTTTTTTCGCTGCAGTGTTTGTGTCCGCCTGATCAGTTACGAGACTTGCGCGGTGGTGGTGACCAATTGTGGAAAGCTTTGCACTCTTCTGATGGCGAACCACCACTGCACGGTGTCAGTTTCTGATCAGGCTTTGCAATAGCAGAGGCCGAGCAACCATACAGTAGAAAGTAAATACCTGTTAGCTTCGGCATCTCTACTCCCCCTTATCTCCCTGTCGTATAGTGTACAAAACTGGAACAACCCAATGTGCTCGCTCGGCCTCAGCTTTTAGGACGCAGTCGTCCGGGTTTCCATTTGGATTTTAATAATCCATCGGAATTTGTACCCGTCACCGAGTTTATCAGTGAGAGTGAGGTTTATACACGACCGGTGGACGAAGAGTTCCGGTTCGTTCCCGAGACAGACAATGTGGATTCTGAATGGCCCGTACTGTCAGACCCGGTCCACCTACCCGAGCAATTGCGTGTTTTATGCCTGCGTAAAAATTTGACCCAATTTCTCGGGAATCCACGCTTCACAAATGGACAATTCGGTAAGTGTCAGTTTGTTTTAGAACGGTCTCTGATTGGCTGAGCAGTTTATACTGCATACCATGGAACCGTCTCCAGTATAATCATCGGTGTATGATCGCGGTCGTCCAATGGAACAAGTGCTCAACCTCAATAGACTACGGAGGTTGGAACATGTATTGCGCATGTCAACATATCGGTTGCCAAGGCAGGAAGCGGTTGGACAAAGGTCAAGGGCGGTCAAACTAAGACCTGGCGCGAGGGTATGAAAACCCTAACCGGGAGACTGGGTCACAGGTTTCGTGGGGCCCCCAAGATCATGGTCACCGATGGTTAGAGATACTAAGTGATATGGCTGGGTGTCGCAAATAGCGGCGCTCGCGCATCTACTCTTTATTCTTGTTACCACAGTCTATTCTCTGTCTTTACTTTGACTCTGTTCTGAACATTCTAATCTTCATTCTGCTCTTTTATCCAAATGCTCGGCCAAAAGACTAAAATCAAAACCGGTGCGTGAAAATGCATGGTTAATGGTTGTAAAAACTGAAAATGAAACATGATTGACTGGCCATATTACTCATCCAAACTGAAACTGGTCTATCAAACTGCATGTATCCCCGCTCTTCTGACTTAGAAACACTTACCTTTGTAAGGAAACCCCAAATTTATCTTCCAATTTGAGTGTTGGTATCAGGCAGAGCAGAAAGGCGGTTACGTAAACGAATCGAGACCATTGTCTGTTCACAGAGTTTGGGTTGCCGGTCCTTTGGGGCGGCAGTTGTCGAGTTGTATAGGGGGTCCACGTCTTGTCTTCTATTTCGCAAGTTGTGACACCACCGCTGTCATCCTACTTCACCATTTGCTGTTTGGTAGCCTTCGTCGGTGGCCATCTCCTTGCTGAGTAGTGCCTGTGCATAATACATACCGTATCTATATGTTTGAAAGTAAAATATTAGTTTTATTTCGTGCTTATCAGCTCAGCTCATGATTGCATACTCTACAATTCTTGTTCTGTTACTTTATTCCGCACGTCCTCTTTAGATTTCTACCCACTTGATTTGGCCTCAATTATCCCTGTGTTAGCGCTCAATTTGCAACCGGGTGATACTTTATTGGACTTGTGTGCTGCACCGGGTGGGAAATCTATCGCCGCTTTGCAAACCATGATGCTCAGTGAGTATTTATCAGTGTACGCATGCCATTTTCGTTGCGTACTGAGTCGCACATGAAGGTGTATTCCTTTTTTTGACCGAATAAATCTTGACGACTTGTCCATCACTCCCCTATCCCCAAGTCAGTTGTATGGTGCAATATTACACTACACAACCAGAAATGCCTTCATCACAATCCGGGCGAAAAATACACAAGATAATATCTCGCACGATAGACACCGGATGAACTGTGTAACATAACACAATGGTCACTATACTCAACGGGTCGCTAATGCGCAGCGTGCACGACAACATAAGACATGAAAATAGTTAAGCGACGCGGTAGATCGGTCCAACTACCGCGTAGGCCATCCGGGACATCCAAGAAGCCCCAAGAGCAAGTCGCGTAAAGCAATCAATTAAACAATAATCAAAGCGCACATGCGTACGCCAGTAAGCCAATTGTTATTGGTTCCTTCGCGAAAAACGAGATCACTGTTTAGCACACTGTAAATACCGGGATTTCATGGATTGCGAATCAGTTCCCTCGGATAGAGTGAGTCTATGCTAACCCCATAATAGTTGTTCAAGTTGAATAGGTTGTTTTGCATACTAATTTCGTTGTCTGATACGGTAGTAGAGGATTTGATTCAATTTCAAATGAGAATACGTCATGTATATAGCAAATGTAGCGTGAAAATCTAGGAAGCACTGGACAGCTGTTTCGACCTGGTTGGTTCCCATCAGCAGTGTGAATCCATCGACCCGACTGGGGATCGAAACCGGGACCTCATGGTCAGAACGCGAGCATGCTGCCCACTCAGCCACCGGGCAGCTGATCAGAGCGTTTTTTTTCATTTTCCACTTACACGATATAGTTACACGACACACTTTTCTGTTGATTATCATGTTTTCGTTCCCAACCACTTGCCATTGTTGAACTAACGTACAGAATTTGTGTTCCGTCCCACCACACAGTATTTCGATGTAAGCTTTTTTATTTATTTTCTTCTTTAAACAATATGATGAAAAATGAAAAATAATGCCGCAGCAAAAACATTAGTTACCTTTTTGGAATTGCAGTCCACCTTTTGGGCATACCCTCTACGAGATTACGAGCTTGCCAGTGTACAGTGTTGGCATCTTGACGACTCTACAGAATAGCAAGACTACTCAGACTGAGAAAAAAAGTGTCATTATACCGTGATCGATCTTTCGACTGATACATTAGTTCCACTACTCCAAGTTGAATATCCTATTAGCACTGAGGTAGGTGCATTTCTATTCGTCTCTTCGTGGAACGTAGTATCCAATCCGCAATAAGTGGACTTGTATTTCTAGAGTTTTGTCTCCATCATTTACTCAGCTCTTAACCTTGCTTCCACGACGCTGAGACATGCCTCAGCAGCCACAACCCGGTAAACGGCCCGACAGGCGAGCTGAGCCAGGGTGAAGGTAATCAAGGTGTAATGACCTTGGCGAAACTATGTACGGCATGCGAAGGCAGCTACTCCTGAATACGCAACGTGATCTACTGTGTGATTCAATGATCNCACCCATGCTCCAATACGCTGCTGCTTGACTGTGCTTAGGCTAAAGGCGTGCCTTCAAAAAAGCCCAGTTACGCTGGAGTCGTCTTTCACAACAAACACTCCATAATCATATTGCGTGCACATTCATCTAACTTATCTTCTCCAAGGCGCCGGTCTCTGTAAAGCAAAGTAAGGAGGTAAACCTAGAGAATGCAATGCATCGTTCCGTGTGAGAACGGAACAGCGGAACGCTTGTTCCGCACACAGCTCACTAGTTTTTTTCGCCTTTAATGTAACCGATACCTCAGTGAGTGCGTATTTGTGGCAAAATGTGCTTTATCTGCCATATTCAACTGCCCTAGGTTTTCGTATTCAAGACTAAAATTGTTTCTTTGTGCTCTTTTTAGGTCGCTTATTATGTGTAGATAATTCGGAATCTCGACTGGAGCGCCTACAGCAATCGCTGAACGCTTATGGTCCAGCTTCTGGCAATGGGTTAAAAATCGATGCAATTCACGAAAGCCAACTGTCTCATTATATGCGCGACGAAATGGGCCAGACCACGGACGCCGGCGATGCGGAAAGCCTGTTCGATAAAGTTCTGGTTGATGTTCCATGCTCCACAGATCGACATGCCATCTGCTCTGATTCGGGCAGTGTGTTCTCTCGGGGCCGGATGAAAGCCCGACTGGCCTTAACGACCACTCAGAACCTCTTGCTTCGGTACGAACGCGTTCATTTGTGTCTCTATTCGAAACAAGTGGTGTAAATTTCTTATTGATTTTATAGGTTGCTAACCCACCACACTGTACAGCTATTTCATCCAAGGCGTTGCTGTGCATGAAAATTGCAGTTTAAAACTAAATCAAATCTCCAAATCAGTTTAACAGAAACAAATTCATGTTCTCAGACATCGTATGACCCTACTGGGAAGTTGCGTATCAGGGGTTAGTTCGCAACAGCAGTAGAGAATGCTTGTCATATCATTATTGATGTGGAAAAAGCTGTTTGGAGCTAGCCTGGTTAGCTCGATTGGTTTGCTTGTCGAACCCGAAATTCCTCCTGTTCGGGTTCGAATCCTAGTGAATTCACTGAAAACGCATTGATGTTGATTCTGAACGAGAATAAAAGAGTTAGTTACGTAAAAATATATCTATCGATCTATCCCTTTCTTGTTTTTCTTCCATACTGTTCTTACACTTTCATTAGGTCCTGCTTAAGGTATTTCATTAAGTTCTTTGAACAGTTCAATCTCGCGTTCTCATTATTCTCGATGAACTACAATACAATGTGTAGCTTTTATTTCACATTCTATTGGGTCATCGTTGTTTGAGTCTAATGCAATGCGATTCGCCTTTCTTTTTTCATTTTTATCTCCTTTTTATTGAATTTACAATGATACAGTTTTCAGGAAGGGGGAAGCGGCCAAGCAGAGAGCTGCCATGCAACATATAAATGAGGAAAGTGAGGCGGTGGAATAGTGATTCGCGTCAGAAGCTTTCTGGTTGTATGCAATCAACCTTCGGATAAAGATATTCACACATTCAACATGTTCTCGTTTTATTCCGTGCAAACTCCCATGGGTGGTCCTCAACCTACCCATGTAAACATTTTTACAAGTGTTGGTCGTCAACTGTATAGCTCAAGTATCAGGGTTTTGGCTTCCAACCCGACGAGTAGCGTTTCCAATTCCAGCAGGTACAGAAAAACAGTTAACGCTGCTGCTAAATCCCCCAAAAAGTACGTAACAATTGTCTGTTGCCCTTTATTTACCTTCATAAATTAGGCCTCGTAAATGTTCATACCTTTTTCCCATCACGATTGCATTGAACTAGTTACCTTGCTTGACTTTACTCTTCTATTTTGACTAATGTCTTACACGTGCGCAGACGCGCCATGAACGTTTGCCGTCCTGGTGGTACCGTGGTCTACTCAACCTGTACCTTATCTCCTGCTCAAAATCAATTCTTAGTACAGTCCTGCCTGCAGCAGGTGAATCAAACGGATGGCGGTATGCGCTATGCAGTGGTCGATCTGCGTCCTCTTGCCCGACTGTTTCAGCGTGCAGAATCGGTGCTGAAACTGCGTTCGGTTCCAATGTACGTCTCGGACCACGTGGATGCTTCGCCCATAGGACTACTGATAGTCCCGACAGTGGCGGCCAACTATGGACCAGCTTTCGTAACTAAATTGAGAAGACTATCCTAATCCGGAACCATTCTGCTTTCATCTTTGTAAAGGGCATGTACATTCACTTATAGACATTATATTTTACTATTACATTCCGTTTTTTTCATTGCGTTTACCTGTACGGATTAAAAAAGACAACTGTTCCGGTTCCAAAGTGATCTGCACAAATGTTTGTCAGGACTCTTACACACTCGCAGCAATACATGTCAAGCGGCGAAGTATTCGAAAGAAGTTATTATGATACCGTTCGACATAATCACATTATTGCTTGTGCAGCGTGTAAATATAAAAAAATGTGATCGGAATCTATGAACTACCAACTATGCGGTACGTTCCATAGCTTCGGACCAGGTGGTCGCGCCTTGTGCGTTGCATACTCAACGCGCTAAGAATTCCAATCTTTTTCAATCGCGCATACTCACCATTTGCGGTCATGTGACACACGTGTGCACACGTGATTAGCAGCCAGTGCATACGCGTGTGAAGTCCAATTCAAGGCGATCGTAATTGGGGAGCGCGTTCAAATGTTGCGCGCGAGCGCGCTGAGTTTGTGCGAAGCGGCGACCACTTGTTCAATTTTAGTTGTGTTTCCTTTTCTATTGCTCATTTTAGTACAATGAACGTTAGTATATAGACATAGTGTGCATTTGCGAAAAACGCTGGTCCTAGCGCCTAGAATTCGGGGCTAAGGAAATACAAGAGGCCTCACAAGGATGTGATAAGCGTTCTAGCAGGTCTGACTGAAGTGAATCTGCTAACGCAGGGTGACAATGGGCGGTTTCGAATCTCAAACTATCTGGTAAGTTGCCTAGCAATCAGCACCTTGATGAAGAGTGCATCATTGCAGTCAACCGGTGTGCACAGATGAAAGCCTTTCAGGGAATCCGGTTAAAATAGCGCACGTGTAGTTGGAGTAATTCTATATGACTGATTTACCGGTCTCAGATATTCAGACCATCAAGAGCGCCTGGTGCTTCTGAACAATCGAGTGGCCTAATCCAAACTTGATAATCTAAACACAGTTGCTAGTTACTACACAATCAGATGGTATTGCTCATCATTTGAACTGATAATATCAGTTCGATTCTCAGGTGCTTACGAATTACCAGTTTTGACAAACTAATGCAAAGAGAATTTNNNNGCACCACTTCCCGATTTAATTGGAGTTTATCGGAGTTTTCTTCGGTGCTGGTTAGTTTGATCCAGGATGTAATGAGAATATGATGTTCTCCGTGCCTGCTTTTGTTGAACAGTCAATTTTTCAATCTATTTTCCGGATGACGGAACTGACTAAATAATAAGTTTCTGAGGTGGGGATTGGATTGGAGAACACTACCTTCGATACAGTGGCAGCGACATGCAACAACGAGACCATGACCGCCGGAAGTTTCTGGCTCTATACATGGATATCTGAGACGAAAATAGTGATTTGTATTATTTCGTAGATAGAAGATTATTAAATGAAATGATCATCATGGAGTAGTTTGTGACTTCACGTGTGAAAAAGTCGCTCAATGCAATGGGCTATCTTTCTTCCTGCTATTGTTTCGACTCTTCTCATGACAAAAGTATTCATCGCCTGATGACAACTTAATAGGTAAATTTCGTTCAGTGGTTTGAGTTATAGTTAATTTAGCGTCACACAAGCGAATAATTATCTGGGCGAGTGTACAGAATTGAATTTCAGCGGCTGAGTGATTCGTGGAAGACGATTGTAGGCTAGAAGAAAGTTACGATTTGTAATCTGGAGAGAACCAAGTGATTTCACTAACAGCTTAGTGGGTAGATCAACCCGATATCCGGAATACTGTTGACCAGGTAATGAAGAAGCAAGGCGACAACGCCGATACATGCGATAGCTGTACACAAGCATCACATTCAAACGTAAGTAACGTCCAATTGGAGTTATCCATCACAGCGTCCCTAGGCGTAAGTCCTGTTTCCAAAATCGAGTTAGATAGATCATCAGTGTGCGACTGGTAAGGATACTCACCATAATAAACAGATACAGGAATGGGTGGCCCATGTCAGGCGTAAGGGCGAAGTACAGGGAATTGTACACAAGTGACTGAGGTGAAGTCGAAAACATTCTTTAAATTTGTGTCCTACGGACTAAGCATTAATTAGAAAATATTCAATTCAGTAACAAAAAAATATATAAAACAAAAACCCTAACTCAAAGAGCAACAACGTCAATCATACAAGGATGTTTGCAGGTTGCGATCTACAAAAGAAATAGTTGTTTTCTGAAATATTGCCCGGTTGACGGAGCCAGTTTAACTTTACTAAACAATGATACCTGTCATTTGATTAGTGCGAATGGATTTCGTTTGCCATAGATACAGACGTTGGATGGTATACACGCACTCCGTCCAACACTTAATGAACTGCAGTCTAATGTTCAGTTTTTTCTTTTGTTCTTCTCTACTTATTATTCGGGACCGTTTCCCGCTCTCATTTGTCTCGGACATGTGATATATAATGATCAGTTTTCAAACTGGGCCGCCGTTTGGGAAACGATATTCCGGAGCACAGGTGTTCGAAAAATTATTGGCTGTGGGGACAATGGTCAGAAGCTAGTCGCAGTTCTGTTGGGTTACTACTCCGCTTGTCTTGTATTTCCCTTTTCTGTTCACTCCTGGGCCTGTCCGTACGAGATGTGGGTATTTAGTGGGGCTATAAATATAAGATTTCAAAGTTAACACGGAGACTGATTATCGGACTTTACAATTATCTATGGGATTCTAATGACAACTGCCAAATTATGAGCATAAATGTTGCTGTGTTTAGTGCAGTACTTATGCATTCCGAATATAGTTGTACCATTGATGTGGTTGACTTTGCTACCATCTCATCCAGTCGCTGGCCACGTGAATCACAAAAATTCGACCGAGTTCCCGCGTGTTCAGGCACTGCAAAATGTTGGAATAGGTAAGTTAATTTCGAATGAAAATGTTTTGTTTTCCCTGAACTTTGTCGGTTTCAGGGTTTATTTTAATCAAGTGACCTAACAGAAAAGTTATAGAGTGCACAGAAATCGTCCATTTCAGAGGTTGTTTATATGAATATTCACGATCCAGAAATTCGGTAAACTCAATTCTAGAGGAGGTATTGAAGTCCACTGTTCGTCAAAAGTGCTCCAGCCCCTAATAAATAATGGTAACGTGGCTGAACAAAAACACTTCAGAATATTAATCTAATCAAACCTAACTGCACTGGATACTGCCTAAAGTTTCATGAGCGTAAGCCATGAGATTTTTAATGAAGTTGGAACAGATGTGTACTTTTTATAGTTCGACACCCACTTTTCTCTGTTTTGTTTTGACTTCCCGAGATGCTCACAAAAGTCGAGTAACTGATTTATACAACGAATTCAATACGGCCTCTATGCTATAGATATGGAGTTTAAATCTTAAATGGAATGGTGGACATACACCTCTGGTGCACTCCAGTCTAGTGCTTTCCGAATATACGCTTGATTGGATAAGCTCAGAATTATGATTGCATATGAATTCTAAAAGATGGTTCATCCCAACAAAAGATGCATATCGCCCACCACTACTTGCGAATAGTTGTGAATTGAAGTTGGGCAATTATATCTGTGTTCAGCATCTTCGTACTTCCTTTTAACCCAGCTCATCATCATCATCATCATC